GACTCTGGGATCATGACCTGAGCCGAAGGCAGACGCTTAACGACTGAGCCACCCAGGTGCCCTAAATGTGGTGTTTTATACCACCCTTCCCCCCCCACCCACTTACTGGATCCTGAACATTTAAGTAAGTGAAAGGTAGAGTAATAAATAGAGTGGTGAAGAGCCTGGTCCCTGGGATTAGATTGCTTATTAAAACCAGCTCTGCCGCTTACTAGTTGTGTGACCTTAGACAAGTGACTTAATTTCTGTGTTTTAGTTTCATCATCAGTCAATGGGGATCATAATAGGATCCACCTCAGGAGGTGGTTCTGAGGAACAAATGAGTTAGGTTTCTGGAGCTCCAAAAAGAGAGCCTGGTGCAGGGTGGGGTCTTACATTAGTGTTAGGTGCTAGTCTCTTTCTCTACTAATAAACGTGTTTCTACAACATCTCTTAAAATAGGTACCTAGTATTCTATTGTATGGCTATAATGTGTAATTCCTCCAAATATCCACCCCAGATTTTGGTTAAATATTTTTTTTTAGTAGATTTTATATATATACAGCATGCATACTTGAAACATTGGCTCATTAATCTTTTCCATATTTAACTGTTTAAATATGCTTGTTTTAAAAAAAGAAATGACTTTAATTCAAGTGATGTCCTTTCTTCCCTTCAGATCTCCATTTCTGGAATTATCTCAGTTTGCAGGTTACCAATTATATATGAATGAGGAGGTCCCGGCCGGTGGCATTATTACAGGCATTGGCAGAGTATCAGGGTGAGTATTCTACTTACACTCGATAATGTGGGTCAGGAAGAAGACTGACAGGCACGGGCCATCACTCACTGCTTTGCGGGCGTATATGCAAGTTTTATCCTATTTGTATTGTTTAGGACTGAGGCTTCCTACCCCGACATGTATTAGATTTATCTGTGGAGCTTTAGAGACAAAGATCAAAGGGGGGGAGGGGGAAACCATAGCACAAATCCTGGGGCTTGAATCCAAACATTCCTGCTTAATCCGACTGTGCAGGTGTGGGCTTGGTTTATGTCATTTTCCAAGGCTCTGTAGGTGGCCTCTTGCACATATAGGGTGAAGACCGGTGTCCTAGAGGAGTCGTTCTCCAAGTGTGCTCCCCAGGTAGCCTCAGCATCACCTGAGAACTTGTTAGAAACATAGATGACTAGGTCTTCCTACAAAGTAACCAAATCAGGGGCACCTGGGTGGCACAGTTGGTTAAGCGCCCTACTCTTGATCTTAGTTCAGGTCTTGATCTCAGGGTCTTGAGTTCAAGCCCCACATTGAGCTCCATGCTGGGCATGGAGCTTACTTAAAAAAAAAAAAAAAGGTAACTAAATCAAATTTTGAGGGTGGGGCCCGGCAGTCAGTGTTTTTTTAGTAAGCCCTTCAAGCTTCTCGAACCCTAACGTTTGAGAACCACTCCGGACTTAGGAAATCTTAGATTGGTAGAAGTTAAATTTACTTGTGTATATTTATGTATGGCCTCACATTTGCCATGTCAGGTTAGCTTGCCAGGCGTTGTAGTAAACACTTCCCACTGATTAGTTGTTTTAATCGTCACCACAGCTCTGTGAGAATGGGTATTATTGTCATCATCACCATTAAGGCAGGTCAGGAAGCCTGCTTAGCAAGGTAAATAACTTCCCTAAGATCAAGCCACTGGCAAAGCTGTGCTTGGACCTTAGGTGGTTGGACTCTGAGCCTGATACAGTTGCATTTGACTCACATAATGGTTTATGGTGTGTTTTCCTCCACCTTCTCCCCATGATTCGTGCCTTCGGTGCACCTATAGCCGTTAGCCATTGTTGCTTCTTCCCTCCTGTACCCCCAACACTTCTCCACAGCTTTTGCCAGCTATGATTTGCTTAATATTCACCCAGTGTGAAGACATTTTTTTCTTGGAGTCTTAGGGGACGCTTAAAAATAAACCTTTAAAAAAATGAGAAACTTCATGCAGAGCTAAACTGAATTCATAATCACGAAATAACCTAATTAAGTAGGACAGTTACCATTAACTCATCTCCAGTGATAATCATGGTCACCACATTGGAGCATTCCTTTCCACCTTTCCTGTGCATACACTAATATTTTATTCTTATTTATGCTTTTGTATTTTTCGTTTTCATTTTCTTTCTTTGTGCCTTGTTCTCAGTTTATAAAGTTCTCAGCTTGGAAGGAAATTGAATTGCATGTAGGAATTGAATGGGTTCAGTTGTCAGCCTCAATTAGAATCCTGGCTTCAGCATTTTATAGCTGTTTGACCTTTAGCAAATTGCTTGACCACTCGATACCTTGGTTTTTTTCATCGGGAAAATATGATTCATGATGAAATGGAATGATCCTAGTAGCTACCAGAGAGGGTTGTCATGAAACAAGAGGAAGAAACAAGAAAAGGAAGAGAAATACTCCCTTCCTTAAGAGATACACAATACAATTGATACTCTTGCCACTGAGAGTAGCAGTTGTGGGTGGCAGAGTTGAGGCTCTGAAATCTCTTCAGAGCCGAAGTCATTCAAAGCTTTTATACCTTTATTCCTTTTGTATATTTCTGAGTAGTGCTGGGTATATTGAGAGAGGCTCCATGGTAAGTTCAGAATAGACCCCAAGAAATTCCATGAGAAACCTTTTTGTATTGAATTTATAAACCAGCTTAGAATCAAGGACTCCTTGCCTGAAATAGTAACTGGCTGAAGAATAACTGAGCTGCAGTCTTTCTCTCTGGCAAATTCGCATTTTTTTTTTTTTTTTAATCATGTCCTATGTGGTATGGTCCCTGCCTGCTTTCCTCACCTTAGCTTTGTACCTAACACTTTAGCCATCCTGGTCTTGCTGTTCCGTGAATGCACTAAACTCATTTTTGCTTTAGGGCCTATACTCGAGCCGTTTGCTCTGCATCAAGTGTTCTTCCCCTGGTTTCTTTGAATGGCTGGCTCCTTCTCATCTTTCAGGTCTCCATTCATATTTCCCCCAGTGCAGTGTTTAGGAGCATGCACTTGAGAGCCAGGCTGCCTAGACTCAAATGCTGGCTTTACCACTTGTTGGTTGGTACTCTTGGGCTAGTTACTTAACTTTACTGTGCCTGTTTTCCCATCTGTAAAATGGGATACCTCATTATCTAAAGCCTTATAATGACACCTAGTGCATTGTTAAGTGCCATGTTAGTATGGGCTGTTATTGTTATTTTTACCATCCCTTGACCATTGTATCTTTTTTATTTTTATTTTTTTTAAAGATTTTTTTATTTATCCATTTGAGACACAGAGATACAGAGAGAGAGAGAGAGAGAGCATGAGCAGGGAGAGAGGCAGAGGGAGAGGGAGAAGCAGGCTCCCCACTGAGCGGGAAGCCCGATGCGGGGCTTGATCCCAGGACGCTGGGATCATGACCTGAGCCGAAGGCAGACGCTTAACCATCTGAGCCACCCAGGCGCCCCCATTGTATCTTTTTTAAAGATTTTATTTATTTATTTGACAGAGAGAGAGACAGAGAGAGCAGGAACACAAGCAGGGGGAGTGGGAGAGGGAGAAGCAGGCCTCCCGCCGAGCAGGGAGCCCGATGTGGGGCCTGATCCCAGGACCCTGGGATCATGACCTGAGCCGAAGGCAGACGCCTAACGACTGAGCCACCCAGGTGCCCCTTGACCATTGTATCTTAACATAGGACCATCACAATTACTTTTTTTTAATTATATATTTTACCTTGTCTTAGTAACTAATAATACATAATAATTATATATTGTATTACTATAATACTGTGATTTGTAAGATAGATATATTTGGTCATTCAGATGACCAAAATTTATTCCTCATAGATTTTCGGTCTTTGTCCACAGTTTCTGGCTCACAGCTCCCCACACCCTTGGAAGTGTTGAGAATGGTCATGGTGTCTTTTGTTATATCAACGAAGGTGGCTTTTGGACCCCAGTCAAGGCCAGGGGCTGGTTGTCAGGAGAACCGACCATGTTATTAGAGGGTTGGAACTTTTCTATCCTACCGACTTCCCCAGTCCCCACCTTTGGGGAGGGGAGAGGGGCTGGAGGTTGAATCAGCCAGTGAATTCATCAGTCGTGGCTGTGCAGTGAAGCCTACATAAAACCCAAGAGGACTGGGTTCTGAGAGCTTCCTGGTTGGTGGACACATGGGGATGTGGGCAGAGTAGTGCACCTAGAGAGGGCATGGAGCTCCTATGGGGTTAGGCTTGGGGTCCAAGCCCATTACTGAGCCACGGTGTGGACTCCAGGTACAAAGTCCTGCTTCCTATGTACACCTTTGAAGATAGGTTTGGGGGTCAGTCCCACTTGAACCACATGGATTAGGTAAGAGTCATTTTCTGAAAGAAAGTTGAATTCCATTGCCAAAATAATAGATTCTGAGTAGGCAGAACCAATAGATGTACAATGCAGTGTTTTTGTGGACTAATTTTATTTTTCATTCTGTATCATGTCTCTGACCTTTTAATAGGCAAGTGGCTCTGTCTCTTGTGGAAGGTCTAGCAAGCGGCAGAGCCAGAATTTCACCATAGCTTGTCTGACTCCATAGCCCCTTTCCCATATCGGAGCTTCTTCAGCTTTTCTAGGGCAGCACCCCCAGGGCAGGGGAGGATGAATAGACTCTGGGGGTGTGAGATCATAGCCCCACCATCCTGCCAGAAGCTGAAATTCCCTTTGAAGTCTGGTTTATTTACTAAAGTCATGAAGAATTGGCATCCCACTTTAAAATGCTAACTGTAATATGGAAAAGTGCTTTCTAGCAATAAGATCGATGCTCTAAGGAGACAAACCCTTTTATCTTGTGAGCACTGCTGGCCACATCCCTTAATGTGAGCAGCACAGCACTACCTGAGGCCACTGTTCCGAGGCTCTTCCCTACTTTATTTTCAACAGGGACTCAGTGACTTACTTTTTAGAATTATAAGGAATATATTGGGTGCCTGGGTGGCTCAGTTGGTTAAGCGACTGCCTTCGGCTCAGGT